GTCTCATGCCACTGGCTGCTCGTAGCCAATTTAAATTTAATTTAATTCAATTTAAATGCCTTGCAAGAACCAATGAAATTTTTTAAATATTTTTTTTCTCAGATGCTGCCAACATGTGGTCTTTTGTTTACTACTTAGCGGCTGTGTACCTGTGGGTTTATTTTGTGTGTATTTGGATGTTCTAATCTTGGTGTTTTTCCAGTGATTTCTCAAAGTGCAATCTAAATACAGTAGGTGTGTCTTGTTTACCTGAGATTTGTAAGAGTTTGAGCTGGCCAACATGTTAGTTTTTTTCATATGGTTGATTATTGGCATGTTGATTTCCCATTTTTGAGCCATGTTTTTAACTTTCTTCATCATTTTCATATAACAATCTTGTCATATGTTAACATAGTCATCTATGGAAATTAAATTAGTTGTATGAGCCCAATGGTGCTAGTTAGTCATTTTGAGTGGAATTCACATAACAAAGTGACATGCATAAATTACCCACCAAATTTGAAAAAGAAACACATGGCGGGATCTGGTTCCAGATTTGTCATAATACCTTGATTTTTTAACAACTAAAATAGTCAGCAGTCATTAGTGTTTTATCTGTCTGTGTCTGAAGAGAAGTGCTCATAGCACTTACATGTTATGTATGAGATTTATGTCTAAAACAGAAAACTAAATGGCCACCAGTCGACTATCTTAGACCTAATCACAAAATCATCGCATGTGCGTATGTATCTCTTTAGAGGTGTAAGGTTTTATGTGCAAGGTTGGAAGAGAATTGACGATGGTGTGTCTGAGACACAGTTTCGGACACACAGACGAACATACAGTGACTAAAACATAGTTCCCTGTTTCATCCAAACAGGAATGAAAAAGATACCGTATGTACAAGATTCTATGTATGTACCAAGTGAATTACATTCATGACAGAGACGTGGTTCTGGAGATGCAAAATTATTGATATTGATGCATTTTGGCATTAAAATGTTTGCTACTCAGCAATTATGAATCACAACACAAAACTAATGCATGTGGTTGACACAATGTATGATGAAATGTTGGAGATATCACTCAAGAAGAATTACAAGTATGAGAATTACAGAAATGCCCTACTTTGAAGATTTTTTAACACTAAAATGGCTGCTTTTCAATCATTTTAATGTGGATCACTAAACGAGAACACTGTTTGATGTGTAAAGTTTGAACATGATTGGCCCAAAGATGTCAGTCGCATGGTTGCATATCTGTTCAAAAATTCCTCTCACTATGAACCCGTAAGGTTACTCAACATCTTATATTACACATATATTAGAGGTTGTATATGATTGGGAACCACAGCAAAGTTATCAACCAATATTTTTTTTTTTTTTACAAATATTAAGATATTAAATTGTAGGTCATCTGCTTTGGTCAAAACAAAAGTATCGTAGATGCGCATTATGAAACTATGGTCATCACACGGAATGTCATATTCTTACATCCTTAACCACTAATGGTTTGATCACCTGGCCATGAGTACAAGATCACCAGTGTGGGATAAAATCGATCACACACTAGATGTATGTGCTTGTATTAAAACAAAACGAATTGATAATAGTAACAGAGGTTTTTCTAGAAAAAAACTGCAAGAGGGAGCACTGCAATTCAGCAGCGCCACCAAGTGGGGGAGATAGAGTTCTCCCTACCAGGTTAGGAAGTTTTTGATAATTCCATTGCTTCCTTGGGGCCAAAATTACCGTAAAAACTCGATTAATTCGCGGTAGTAAAAATCATTTTTTCAAGTGCGTGAATTAATAGCGTAAAAACGGAAATTATTGGTTTTTGGTGCGCGAATTAAAAGAGTACTTTTAGATCGATTCAAAAAAGAGCTGTTTTTATAAATTTATTAGTGATTTGGGTTGTTTTCCAATGAACACGATTACAGGGCATTTTTTTACTGCCTCTGAGACTCATGGCTAGTGACGTTCATGGCGTATAGTCTGGCAGAGAACACGCATTGCGTCAAGGACCACGCACGATGTTACACTTAAAATGAAACAGTGAAATGGCAAAGGTCACTCTGTACACAAACAAACAATGAACACGTGGCTACAAAGTAGCCGTCTGGCTGCACTACTTTTTTTTATTATTCTAGGCATCGCCCGGGAAATGTTATGGCAGATATTACGAAGCCCATCTTGTCTGGAAAAATAACCCTGCGTTGATAAAAATAGTCTCAGAAAATGTTTAGAAAAAATAATGTTTCGCGTTGACCAAATATAATCATGCAAAGTATAAAGTGTTTTAATACATTGGTGAAAGGTCGCACTTTACGTGAACAAGAACATGCACTAAGAAGGAAAAGCATGCCAAAGTCGAAACGGGTGCATCATGGACATGACACAACACACGCTGCGACAACTGAGTGACCAGCGACATCATTTTGGGACGCAATTGAACTTCAAGTACTTCTTTGCGAAACTTGCTGTGCGGCGATGCTGACATCAAGTGTGTGTTGACCGAAGTTTGATCCCAATTCACACACTGAAATGGCGCGTTACCTTAGCAACCTTTTTCTTTCATGTCCCGTGCGTCAATCTAGTAAAATTACTACTATATCCGAATGTACTGTAATTACGCAACTTGTGTGCAACTCTGTACTGGCTTTGAATATATCAACGTCGTTTACTTAGTGCACTGCTTTTATAATTACTCAAATTTGTTTACAATATTGTATCGGCTCTGAATATTTCAACTTCGTAATGTATTGCTTTCATGGTAATTAGTTTTTTTTAACTATTGTTAGGGCACTGACCTGGGGTATTGGGTCGGTGAATATTTCAATATCACCGACTTGATAATGCGTTGCATTCGTAATAATAATTACGCAAACATAAACATACCATACGTCAAATTAAATTTTACTACAATATAATAAACTCTGGGCAGCGCACTTCGATCGCATTATTCATGTACATTTGGGCTGAGCTCTAATAACCACACGTTTGAATTATGTGCGGCATTGGGCAATGACCTCTAGAGTTCATACACTGATATTTAAATTCGGGCCACCCAGCTTGACGCAAATCAATATAGTTTCATTTGTTCAAAAAATCTTTCAACTCTCACAAATACCATGGACGCGAAGACTTAACTGGGGGTTAAATGAAAGGGAGTGTTAGATTTATAGAATGTACATGACCGCTTAACTCTGTGTTTTTTACTGAATCCAGTATAATGAAAATGTGACACGAGGTCAATCGCCCGACCAATCAAAAACGTCAATTTACGCACCATAGGACGGTTCACTTAAATGACGTAATAGAATAATGTTGGACACATAGTCGATGCAACCCTGTGGACCAGCGACGAAAAAGCCCTGTACTAAGCTTTCCATCACGAAAATTCGTAATCAATGTGCTGACCGATGGATATTTATCGACTAAGTAATAATCTTGCCCAACATCTGTAGTGTCGTGGGGGAATGAAATCTTTACCAAACCTAAACTGCTTGCTAACTGAAAGGCTGTGTTGACGGAGATCATCTGCGATTGCGGCTACACTAAGTACTGACAACATAAAAACTCAAACAATGTCTTCATGCAATTTATCCACTTTATTCTGGCCTGCGAATTGATAGGATACAATTTAAACATGTTTTTGATCGCCGCAAATTAAAAGGATATATTTAAAAATCAGCGTTCGAAAATAAAATGGGTGCGCGAATTAAAGAGACCGCAAATTAATCGAGTTTTTACGGTACTATCAGACAGGTCACAGTTGAAGAATGTGGCCACATGTGATCCCTGGTCAATCAGAATTTTATGGTTGCCAGAGGGTAAGGGGGCACATGGCCATGGCATGAGGGCGCTGCACCAATGTTTCCTTGTTTAATAAAAAAATCCCTGAGTAATATCGACTGCATAAAATTTATTATTTACTAAATATATCATTATCTGTTTTGCTTGACAGACGTATATTCAGCAGATGATGGGGTTTTGGGATGCAGAATAATAAATCTGATAACTTGAACAGGTATGCATCTACTCTAAACATGTATCAAGCATGTGACACAAGAAAAAAAACCCACACACAAAATACCTAGTATGGTATGAGTGAGACAAAAAATACCAAACTTATGTCAAAGTTTGTTAAAAACGAAAGATATTTAGTTTGGGGCAACAGTGTCAAAGTGATATTTTGTTTTGGTGGAGAACACAGATTTTTAATATTCGTACTTGAAGAAGCATGGGCATCATCACATACCCGCTTTGCTTTTGTCAGCCATTATCATAAATAAAAAAACACAAAAATATGTAATTTGTTGTCAAATTTCATCAAAACATGAAAGATATCTAGTTTTGTGAGCAGGTGGCAAAAGCGCTCTTTCATGTTGTGGCGAAAACAAATTGTTATTATACATAGTTTGATGGGTTGTTTTTGCTCTTTCAGTCTCTCTCTCTCAAAAAAAACACACCTTCTTGTACAGCGGAGAGAGGTGTGTGATCTTATTTTTTTTTTCTTTGAACTTTGCCAATTTGAGAAGACCCCTTACTCATATGCTGGTTGTTCATATATAAATATAGCACAAGGACTGTAATTTAAGAGTCATTCAGTCAGAAGAGAGTGTCAAAGGCCTTAATTTTGTTGACACTATAAAATTATTAGATATTCCAGTGAGTATCAGTGGACAAATCGATAGTGAAATTCCCATATTAACAACATAACATCGCCCAGGGATATTGCGTCATGCGATGACTTTAAGAACCAGATTGGTAGTTAGAGGTTAAACAAGAGATGGTTGGAACATGGAACTTCGAGGTAAAACACTCGCAAATTTGATTGTTAAAGTAGTTCGCGACGTTCATGCAGTACCTTCCTACCATTTTGCATGTAAGTTAGCCCCAGTGCCGATGAGAGTTATTTTTCGTTCACAAGCGACAGTGATATTGATATGATAAGACCAGGCTTCGTAACAGTATTCCGGTACATTATAAAACACATCAATTACATGAAATATAGCTTACCTATTTCACCCCGTGTGACATATTGAAAACTTGCCATGATCCTTTATGGAATATAAATGTCACTGGTAGATGTCTCGAGTAGTTTTCCTCAAAATGTGTAAGATATATCAACACTCATTCATTGACGAAGGACTGAATCGAAGGCACACATGATTCGAGGATGAATGAGATTGGCTTGCGTTCCACTACAGTCTTTCTTGAAATCACACAAATTATCAAAATTTTCCGATGCTGCCTATTAGAAATATCCACATAGAGTTATGTTGAAACAAAATCGGCGTGAAAATTACGAACTAAAATTAACCTTTTCGTTCCTGGGTGTGTGTTACATCAGCACCGTACGTTGCCGCTCTCACGATCAGCACTTGAACCAGATCTCAAGTCCTCTAGAGGGCGCATGAACTATAACATTACCAACAACGTGAATAAAGGAACACGTCGTGTAATAAAGTTAATATTTACTTTCCTTGTTAAAAAAACCACGCACAAAAAAAACATTCTGAATCAAACTGTACAATGTAGAAAAAAAATCTGTTTAAAAAAAGGCTGAGGTACTTTTTCTCTTTTGCTGTTTTTATTGAAGAGATGTACGGTAGCAATCTCTGGGATCGCGTGATGTCTCGGGACACCTCGGGAACACCACTGTTTATACTAACGTTTTTCATTGTTATTTAAATCGATTGCGTAAATTTTCCGTGAGGCAAGCAACAAAAAATGACACATGCAACTGTCGATAGCTGTTACTTCGTTGGGGAATTTCAATTCTAATTGATACAGCTATTATGAAAATCGTTCAAATGGAAAGAGAGGTCATTTTTACTGCCAACATGTCATCTGTTTTTTTATTTCAACGTACGATTGCACAAACAAGAGTATGCTAGAAAACATTTGTTCTGTGCTTTTTCTTGCACCTTTTACAGGATGTCAACCATTTAAAAATCGAAAGCAAATGTCTAGTTGTATTTCACAAGCAGTCTGACCAATACGTACGTTGTTTTCATAATTAGTAGTCAATGGGAAAATGTGAATATTTGGACCAAAATTGAGAAATAAATACCGACGAAAGGTGACCACCGAACTCGGCCAGATTTCTACTCGGCCAATGACCGATCACGGCCAGTGACCGTACTCGGCCAGCATATGTGCATAAGGGTGTCAATGATGCAACAGCGAGCGCTGTGTTACAGACTGTCAGAGTCATATCACAACAAAATATAAAAAATGTATGGGCGTCAAAGGGTGTCGATTTCAGTGATGCC